AGTTTTTGAAGGTCTCCACTCAGACGTCCTTCATTTGATATACTCCAAGAATAAGAAGCCCGGTGAGCAAAGATAGACGAACCGTCGTGTTACGAAAGTTCGATGCGTGGGACAAAAATGACCGACTAATAATACGAGCCATACTGAGCCGTGTTGCTGCGGCGCTGCAGTGCTGCAGCGTTTCTGATTCCGATTCAGCGGAGTACGACATCACAATTCTGTCCACTACAGCGACCTAAAAGGGAACGCTCGCTAAGCGCGGTCGAGGGAAAAGTGAGTTTCAAATGTTGGCAATGGACAGCGTCCGCACTCATATTGTCACGAATGAAGGTGACGAGAAGACGAACAGGGAACTGAAAATGAAACTTTTATTGGCGAACTTGTGCCTGTGCCAAACAAAATAAGTAACGAAAGAGCGTCGAGGCAGCAGAAAAGCAGGCGGCGATTCGGCGGCGCCGGCGTAACGGAGAGCGAGACCGAAAAACTGTCTCGACAAGGCTGCGGATAGCTGCTTATCAGCTATCCGCGTCACTATCTTGAAAGTTCTGCAAAGAAGGTTCGAGCGTCGCGTAGGGGGGGGGGGGGGGGGGGGGGGGGGAGGGGGGGAGGGCGAGGATGAGCTGGAACTTTCGAGATCAAGAGAGCTGAGGGAAAGTTACATCTGGTACGAGAACGAATGCGAATCTTCTAGATGTCAGTGACCGAGCGTTGCTTTCTTGGCCCTGCGGCGGCATTATCCCCCCCCCCCCCCCCCCTTTTCAAAGTGCATCGTCCCGATGCAATGGATTTTTCCTGCGGAGCAGCCGAAAGGGGCGGACGTTCGTCGGCGCGCTCTGCCAGTCGGCTATTGTACGAAGCCTAACGGATCACGAGGCGACACTGGAGGCACCGGGGACCCCCGATTTTCGCGGGAATACCACCGGGACCATTGCGGACGAAGAGGAGTGGAGAACCCAGGGAAAAAAGCGTCGAAGGCGAGTTTTCTCCGAATCGAGAGAAGACGTTTCTACGGAGAGCCCGGCTTGGAAGGCTAAGCCCAAGCCCAGAGTCATGGGGGCGCAGGGCACCCAGTTCAAGTTCACGCTGAGGCCCGAGCAAGGGATCAAACTGGACAAGTATGGGACGCACGTCTACGGGCGGGCCATCGTAGACGCAGTCCGCCAGAAGCACATCTGCACGGTGAGCGACTTTTCTTTTCAAGTCATGGGTGGATCGAACTCGATTTTTCTCATGACGGAACGGGAAGATACCGCGAAGGAAATTAATGAAATTCAGGCGCTAAAGCTAGAAGAGAGAAGAACGGTTAAGTTCAACGTTCACCAAGTACTGCAGAACGTGACGAGAGGTGTAATCCACAACGTGGGCGCAGAATGCAAAGAATAAGAAATTCTGGAAAATACGAGAACAAAGACCGGCGTAGAGCTCATAGCGGCACGGCGCCTAGGAGAGTCGAAGGTCGTATTATTGACATTCAGCGGAAATGTCAAGCCGAGGTACGTGTACTTCTACGGTGGCGCATACAGAGTGTACGAGTACACACCCAGACGACAGGTATGCTATAGATGCCCGCGAGCGGGGCATCGCGCCGACGTATGTCCGTACGAGGCAGCTTGCAGAGACTGCGGAAAGACGCACCCGAAGGAGGAAGGGTGCGTCATCAAGTGCGTACTGTGCGGGAAGGGTCATCGCACCGGAGACAGAGAATGCGAACAGAAGTACAAGGCGCCGCCTGATGGGCAGTTCAGAAACTTACCAAAAGCGAGTACTTGGGCCGGTAACAGAACAGAACAAGCGGCAAACATAGAGCACAATGTGCGGACGACAGAGACAAGCAAGATGCATGAAATATTACAACAAATAGAGAACCTAATGAACGGAGGAACGACGGCTTTACTAGAAGTGGTCAGGAAAAGTGAGGAGCTTGCGGCAGAAGGGCGCAAGCAGCATGCAATAGAGGAAAAAAAGCGCGCAGAGGCGAAAAGAGAGAAAAAACTGCGGGAGGCGGAACAGAGGAAAGCCGAGCAAGCGGAAAGAGAGAAGCTGCAGGGAAAAAGGAGAGCTGAGAGGGAGAAGCAGGCAAGATCCGGGCAGGAAACACAAGGCCGGTCATACTGTAGAGGAGAACGAATTGTGAGACAAATATGGAAACAAGGTGTGTTACAGGGGGAGAGCCGAGCAATACTGGAAACATGCACGAGCGCCTCGATAGAATGGAGCAGAGAATAAATGTGTTTATGGAACAATGTCAGAATGTGATTGAACAGAGACTAAGCCTATTTATGGAGCAAATCATGGAAGCAATGGAAATCAAGGCCGGTAAACATGGCCAAGTCTAAGCACAGGGAAATCAAAATATGGCAATGGAATTGTAGAGGCTTAGGACCCAAAGCTAAGAATCTGCAGTTCTTCATAAACGGTGACGGGCTGGCAGTGATGGCGCTGCAGGAAGTCAAGACAATAGCGAAGGTAACGGGGTATGACGCGTACGTCAATAGCATGGAGAAACCGGCGGTAGCTACGCTCTTCAGTAAGAACTATACGGCGATCGTGCACGATACGGAATAAGACATCAAGAACGTTCTTATAGAACTGGTGCCTAAAAGAAGAGGAAGAAACGAGAGCGTTTTCATTTTGAATGTATACTCGAAGAAACAAAAGGACGTTTTCGAGGAACTCTTCAAAGAAGCGATTAAGGCCGCGGGAGACAACGCACTGCTTATTCGCGGGGCTTCAACGCCGTACACGAAAGCTGGGGTTACAAATACAGCAATGGCAAGGGGAACAAACTCTTGGAAACAATTGAAGAGGAGGGGCTTTCGATAGAGAACAAAGTATGGTACCCGACGAGGACGGGCGGCGGGCGAACCAGCGACACAAGTCCGGACTTGACGATCTGCAAGAACGTAAAAGTAAAATGGTCAAACACATGCGAAAATTTGGGAAGCGATCACTATATCATAGAGATAGAGATGGAAACGGACCTCAGGGAAAGGAGCATAGGCAAGACCAGACACACAAACTGGGAAGACTTAAGAAAGGACGCGGAGCTCGACGGCGTTACGGACCCGGTCGTTTGGACGAAAAAGATCAAGGAAGTGATGAAGAAGAACACCAGCGAGGTAAAGCTGACGCCCAAGTACCCCGCGGCGGATAACAAGCTCATGGCGATGTGGGACAAACGTCGGAAGCTCACGAGGAGATGGAAGCGGCAGCGATACAACCGCAAGATCGGAAAGAGAGTGGCGGAAATGGACCGACAAATAGAAGAGTACGCGCAGCAACTTGCTCGGCACAACTGGGAACAGCGGTGTGAAGATATGAAGAAAGGCAAGGGACTCGGGAACAAGGATACGTGGGCTTTGCTCAACTAGCTCGTGGATCCGACCAAGATGAGGAGCGAAGGAAGCAAGACGATGCAAAGAATCATTCACCAATTTAAGGGAAGCGATCACGAACTCATGGAGTACGTGCGACAAAGATACATCCCGGACAGGACGAGCGGCAAAGAGCTGCCGGAGTATTCAGGCAGACCAAACCAGGAATTGGACGAGGAGATTAGAATTGGGGAAGTCAAGGCTGCGGCGAGGGAAGCGAGAAACAGCACGCCGGGCAGAGATGGAGTCACCAACGGAGCATTAAGAAACCTACCAGAGAAGGAGTACAGGAGATTCACCGATATGTTCAACGAAGTCTGGAAGCAAGGAAAGCTGCCGGATGAGTGGAAGCAGTCCGACATAAAGTTTATTTCGAAACTGGGGAAGAAGATCGGACTCGCAACCCTGAGGCCGATCTCTCTGACTTCGGCGGTTGGGAAGCTAATGGAAAGAGTCGTCAAGAACAGGCTGCAACCGTACATCGACGAGAACGGCTTTTTCCACAACGCAATGTTTGGGTTCAGGCCTTACCTTAGTACGCAGGACATTTTTGCGCTTTTAAAAGAAAACGTACTGGATGAATTTCCTAATGGCAGGAACACCGAGCGAGTGGTCATGGCGATAGACCTGAAGGCGGCGTTTGATAACGTCGATCGCGAATACGTGATGGAAAGGCTGGCCGCGATGAATTGTGGCGAGCGTGCTTACAACTACGTGAGGGACTTCCTGAGAGACCGGAAAGGAAGAATACACGTTGGAGATTTGCATCCCAAACTGGTGGGACTCACAAATAAGGGAACGCCACAGGGAGCGGTAATATCGCCGCTACTGTTCAACATCGCCATGATGGAACTACCGAAAAAGTTCGACGACATAGACGGCCTCGGCTTCGCGTTCTACGCGGATGACGTCACGCTGTGGGTCGGAAGCAAAGAATTGAAGCTAGGAAGGAAAGTGGAAATTCTCCGGCAAGCGGTGAAGCGAGTCGAAGAACACGTAAAGAAGTGCGGGCTGGAAATTTCGGTGGAGAAATCGGAGATACTTCGGTTACACGGTGCAGAATACGACAAGAGTGTCCCGATTGAAATCACGGTCGGCGGGAAAATGATACCGGCGAAGGACTGCATCCGAACACTCGGTATGTGGCTGCAATCCAACGGAAAGCCGAGCACGATGATCGACAAGATCAAGACGTCGGCGAAACAGATCTGCGGTATGATCAAACGGATTGCAAACAGGAAAAAGGGATTTAAGGAAGCCGAGACGCTGCGGATAGTAGACGCGCTAATCGTAAGCAAAATGAGATACTGCCTTCTATACTACAACATGACGAAGGCAGATGAGAACAGGGTGGACTGCATACTACGGGAATCTTACAAAACTGCGCTGCATCTACCGGCGTGCACGCCGACAGAGAAGCTCGAAAAGATGGGAATCACGAAAACTTTCCGGGAATTGAGAGACGCGGTCATATTGGGACAAAAGGAGCGATGAAGGTTCAGCAAGGTCGGAAGGGAGACCGGAGTCCGGCTCGGCTACGGCGATATAAGGACGAAAAACCTGAAAGAAAGGCAGCTGACCCAAAGTTTGGTGAAACGATACAGAGTCAGCCCCATACCGCGGCACATGCACCCAAAAATACACAAGGAACGGAGAAAGGCAAGAGCTGACTACTACAGAGTAAAGATGGAAGGAAGAGAGAACGTCATGTACACCGATGCTACGGCGTATGGTAGCAACAAAGTCGCGGTTTGCGTCGGGCATGACGGAAAAGAGCTGGACAGTTTGTCATTGAAAGACGCGACAATGACGGAAGCAGAGGAGGCGGCAATCGCAATGGCGATCAGAGCGGGAAAGGGCCACACGTACATTCTGACAGACTCGCAGAATGCGTGCAGGAATTATATGAGAGGCAAAGTGTGCGCTACTGCCGCGAAAATCCTAGAGAGAGCCGTAAACGGTTCGTCAACTTTCGAAATTATCTGGGTCCCGGGGCACGAGGGTATTCCAGGTAACCAGGCTGCAGACCTTCGGGCCCGTGGATATGTCGACCGGGCAGAAGCGAGGCAGTGGGTGTACTCCGACATGCTGGACCACTTCAAGGCCCAGAGGAGACAGTACGGGCTCCCGTGCCGGGAGCTAAGCAAAGCCGAGAGTACTGCCTGGCGAAGGATCCAGGCGGGCAACTACACTAACCCGGTGCTCCTGAAACACATGGGGCGCAGAGACGACGACGGCTGCAAACACTGCGGGCAAAGAGCCACTTTCTCGCACATGGTGCGGGCATGCCCGGACACTCCAGGGCTTGGCGACACTATTGACGACCGGCGGTGGGAAGAGATGCTGCGCAGCGAGGTCTACAAGATCCAGGTACACCTGATCAACCGGACCAAGCTAGCAGCAAGCTCCCAAGGGATCCCGGACTAGAGGATTCCACTCACCGAACCGAAGACGCCGTTCCCTTCCCCTTTTACTTTGGCAATTAATGTTTTACCGCCACCACCACCACCACCCGATGCAATGCGAAAGGAAAACGGAAATTGGTAAAACATTTACGGTGAAACGAAATACACATGCAGGGTCACAATCCTAACGCGCGTAGAACGGCTTGAGTAGAACTACGTGGACGACTTCGGGTCGTGGCTGGCGGCGTCCTGATAGTCGGGTTCCGTCGGGGAGCACCTCGTAGTTCAAATCCCCATGGCGGCGAATGACCTTGTAAGGTCCAGAGTAGCGTTTCAGCAGTTGCTCGCTGAGACCGGGGCGGCCGAATGGATGTTCATACCCACACCCTGTATCCGGGCTGGAACTCCACGTCGCGGCGACGAAGGTTGTACTGGCCAGCGTCAACACGTTGCTGGTCCTTTATGCGAAGGCGGACTAGCTCGCGTACCTCTTGTGCTCGTTGGGTGACCAGCTGGGCGTCTTCAGTGCCGTCGTCCGCCGGATCGTGGGGCAGCATGACGTCGAAGATCGTCGTCACCTTTCTGCCGTGAAACAGCTGAAAATGTGTCATGCCAATGGTTTGTTGAATCGCCGTGTCGTACGCAAACGTGACGTAGGGCACCACTTCAACCCACGTCTTGTGTTCCACGTCCACGTACATCGATACCATGTCGGCGATGGTCTTGTTTTAGTCGCTTTGTCAGCCCGTTGGTCTGCGGGTGGTATATGCCGTGGTCCGACGGTAGTCGGTGTGGCTCAACCGGAGTATCTCTTGTGTCAATTGCGCCATGAACGAGGAGCCTCGGTTCGTAATCAGGACTTGGGGAGCGCCGTGTCGGAGCACGATAGATTGAACGAAGAACTTGGCTACTTCCACGGCGGTTCTTGATGAGAGCGTTTTGTTTCGGCGTACCTGGTGAGACAATCGGTTGCCACGATTATCCAACGGTTTTCCTGCGTCGACGTCGGGAAAGGTCCAAGGAGATCCATTCCAATCTGCTGGAACGGTGCAGTCGAGGACGCGATCGGCTGCAGGAGACCTGCCGGCTTCGTCGGTGGTTTCTTGCGTCGTTGGCACTCGCGGCACGAACGGACGTAGAGGTGTACAGCCTTCGGGGGCTTGGGCCAGTAGTCTTTCTCTCGGATCCGTGCAAGAGTCCTGCTGTACCCAAGGTGACCAGATGTCGGGTTGTCATGGCAGGCTTGGCAGACCTCTTCTCGAAAACTTGTGGGAATCACCAGGAGCCACGTCGAGTGGCTGTCCCCGAAGTTCTTTTTGTAGAGGAGACCTCTCCGGACGGCGAATCTTGGCAGGTCACGTGAGAAGACTCGGAAATTCGTACCCCCTCGTCCCTCCAAGGGGTCCATTAGTGCGCGCAGCTCACGATTTACCCGCTGGAGCGCTGCCATACCGTGACTGCTCACCGCGCCAAGAAAGTGATCGTCGTTGTCGTCATCGTCTTCTTTGGCACAGCCGGTAGCTGATTGGACGGGGCCTCTGGACAGGCAGTCGGGGTCGCTGTGTTTTTGGCCTTACTTGTAGACGACGGTCACGTCGTGGAACGCATGCGTCACCGAGCTGAAGTGGGTGTTCATTAATATAATGCCGCCCGAAGTGCCGAGAAAGCATCGCTCGGTCATGGACTTCTAGAAGTCCGTCACCAAGCGTTGCTTTCTCGGCCGTGCAGGCGGCAATATATGTTTTGCAGACTGTGCCGCTTCCCTCTCTCTTCAAGGAGCGTCTGCATGAGCTGGCTGAACTGGTAGCGCGCTTCTTCGCAAGGCTCCCCTTGACAGTTGGCTTCTTTGCAATGCACGTTCTTTTTGCTTTCCCTTTTCCTCTACAACGGAGGCGACGCCAATAAAAACAAAAGGTAAAAAATAGCGCCACGGCGTTCCGTTTTCTTTCTTTTTTTTTTCCTTTTTCGCGTTCTTTAATTTACAGCTTTTTTGAGCTACTTCTGCGGCTTGGGCCACGTGGCAATGAAGCTGGAGGAATCAACGCGAACAATTTTGGACGAAAGTAGGTTTTTGAACGCCGAGTGTCGGACGTTCAACTCTCCAGTGAGATCACGCACATTTTGGAATGCAACACAAGTTACGCAACCGTGGCCTCGTGTGAACGTTGGTTTTCGATTGTCGGTGCTGTCATTGCGTACAGATGTTGTTTATCCGCGCTTTGGTGGAAAACTGGATGTGAAAGTGTCCATATTTGAGTTCCTGCAAGGATGACTACGAAAGGGTGGACTATACAGCGAATCGACGGGAAGATCTCGCTCCTTGACGGCATGGCAGGGTGAGAACGTTTCAGTTTTTATGATTGTGGGTTCGTTTCTCGTTTTAACTTTTCTCTGAATGCCTACTAGGGGGTGATTTGGTTCTGGCCTGGAAGCAACATATTCAAATGCTGGCGCTACTTGTAGGCGCAGAACTAACTAAAAATGACTTAGTTTATGAATTCAGGTTGGAAAATTTTCGCAAGGTATGCAAGTGATAGATTATCGCATTGCAAACAGAAATATTAAAAAAAAAACATAAGTGCATCGCGTTCTTTCTGTGTATCCTCATTGGAGCGCAGAAACGATCCGCTAAAACTATCTAGTAAGACCTATATTTTAGCGGGTCTTCGGGCTGTAGTTTCAAGTGCACGCAAGCCGGAATATTGTTCATTGACCAGTTTAATTATACATACACCAGAGCCATATACTAAAAATTTAGCTGGAGCCCCTTTCAGGCTCCTTAAGGAATCCCACCACCCATCAGGTAGCTCTATGGAGAATATTATAATTATTATCATTATATTAATAATATTGTTTTTGCTGTACCTGGTTTATGTGTTCGTGGAATAAGGATTATTATTATTGTTATCATTTTATTATTATTATTTTTATTATTATTATTATTATTATTATTATTATTATTATTATAGTTATAGTACATTCGGCATTCGGCACATCAAATTCAAGAATAATTTTGATGTTCGTGGTCCAAAATACCAGATCTAAACAATGCCAGTGTTTTCTCTCAATAACGGAACCACTTCAGCTGCACTTTAAAAAAGAGCATTCTTATTTTTTGTATTGTATAACCATTTCCGATTACATTTCTTTGCTTTGGATTAATATGATTGCCTCCTTTTTCGTTCTATTTCCTACAGAAGTGGTCAAATACACATCCCGGATACTGCTTTGATTAACTCGGGCTACTGTACGGCCTCCATGGGACAAGCTGAAAACTGACAGCTTAGCAGATCGCTTCGGAATGTATAGGCAACTGGCTGGCTTCTAATATCACGTCTCTACAAGGCCCATTTCTGAAGGTGAAAACAAAATACTGCTGAGAAGCACGCTGTGAACGATCACGACAGCTAGAAAGGATGGAAACTAGGATATCTTGACAAGTGAGCGGATACTTGACGCCATACCTGCAACGTGGTATACCTGCGATGTGGCTCTTGTCCGCAAAACATAAGACACAACCTGCCGGTTCTGGGCTATGTGGCCAGCCGTGCAGTCTACACCACCTTGAAAAACCCGAGGGGCGAAAAATGCAAGGCCGCATCGACAGTAGGAAACAATTTGGCTACAGTTAGCTTGCACAGGAAGGCTATGCTCTCGCAATGAATCTCGTTATAGAAGGGCTTGTTTTTCCTGGTGTAAATGCTGTAGAACACAACTATGTTGTTCACCAATCGGTGATGCACAGCCAGAGCCGACTTGTTACATATCTCATATGGGAACTACTCGCCAAAAAGAAGAATTCCGACTTCGACGCCAGTGAAAATTAGTCAACGAGTGAGCTCATTATGACACGCGTGTTGTTGTCGCAAGAAAACACAGACGCGTTTTCTTGTGACATTTTTACAGCAAGATGCGTTCGCATTAATGCCAAGAATGCCAAACAAAAGAAACAGAAAGCTGAAACTCTGCAATCAAAGATACTCGCTGCCAGCCGTCACGGATGACAAGAAGCGAACTCAGACCAAGAAAGAGTACGTCTGATGTTTGGGATGATGATCCCATTGTGAGTTCGAGCTGAAGCATGTGTTAGACTGCAGTGAAAACATTCAATTTGGAAACCTTTGTTGCAAGATGGCAACAATATTGTGGGTTCCAGTGCAAGATCCCCCCCCCCCCCCCCAAAAAAAAAGAAAAAAAAAGAAGCTAAGGGAATAATGCTAAGTAAATTAGTTTCTGTCCGACCAGCTTCTTCCTCATGCAAAGGTAACTGCTCTCTGAAGTCGGTGAATCTGTGCGTGTGTGCAGATAGTCAGTGTCATTGTAGCAATCTCTTGGGTAACCTTCTGGTGCTACAGCGTAATGCCGACATGCTGCACAGAAAATGTGTGTTTCGGTGTCACAAAATGTAGAGCATCTAAAATGCATGTGTATATATTTGTTTCGACGGATATTTGCAAAACCTATGGATACCAGGAGGCTCGTTTCGCAGTGTTCAAAGGTGACCAATTTTTTATTTACGACTTTCTTCTCTATTCTAAATGCTAGCAACATTGAATATGAAGCTCCCATGCTCACTTCTGTCTGTGTACAAAACTTGTTTTTAGCCGCCCGAACAAACCTGTGTCGTTTCGCACACTCGGTAATGTCGAAGTACATCAGCATATTGGGCAACGCTCGGGTATTACGGTACTTTTGTTGCAAAGATAAAGTTTCCACATTATGACATTGCCAAGAAGCAGGTCACGGGTGTTTTTTCTATGTTGCAACCAAATAGGTTGCTTGCTGCAATACAAGTACTATATTCGAGCAGGAAGAGTGCATTGAATTGCTGAACATATACAAATATATCACGGGTCTAAGGAAAGTTTGTCAAATTATGTTGAACACATTTTTCGAACTAGGATATCTCAGAACCCAAAAGACCAGCAGATCACAATTTTAGAATGTTATTACTTTTTATACTTCTCTGCTAACTGGTGTCCCGTTACTGTTGCATCAGGTATCCGTAAGTAGTGTACTCGGGCCTCTATTATTTCAGATGACCTATCATCATCAATTAAATTGACAATTAGACTTTTCGCTGACGCTTGAGTTAATTACAGAAAAATTAATGCACTTAATAGTCACAATATTGTCCAAGACGATTTAGATACGATATCATCATGGCGATCCCTAAGGCAGATGAACGTTAACGCTCGTAAATGCAAACAAATGTCCGTAACTAAATCCTCCACTAAAACACTAACCGCCAGTACTCATTACTTTCACAACCACCAGAACACTCATTGTCGTACAAGTATTTGGGCGTGTATTTTACAGACTCATTATCGTGGATTGAGCAAATAACAAATAGCGCACTAAAACACTTGGTTTCATTAGATGGATATTATATCTAGCTCTAGTGAAAGAAAACTACTCGCGTACAAAACATTTATTCTTTAAAATTAGAACATGGAAGCATAATTTGGAATCCGCACCTAAGTTACCTGTCTCGAGGCGCCGAATCTTCAGAACAAAGTAGCCAAATTTATATGCAGTGATTATTCAACCGAAACGAGTGTTTCCGCTTTAAAAGCTTACATTAATATTTCTCATCTAGAAAGAAGGCGAAAAATACCCCGATTGTGTTTCTCTCAAGATGTATATTACTGAAATTCAGTTTTTTTATATATTTACTGCCAAGCTGCCAATTTTATATCGTCCATATCAGATAATTCCTGCAAGATTGAACCATTCCAGTGCCATTCTAACACTTTTCTCTTTTCTTCCCTAGTACTTTGCACCACTTACTGGAACAAACTACCCGACCATATTGTAACTGAGCAATATCCCATTTCATTCAAAAAGAAGTGCATCAATTTGTGTAACTGTGAACCTTCATTTGTAAAACTGTATCATAACAATAACATGCTAATAAGAGTTGTGTGTGTGTGTGCGTGTGCGTGTGTGCGTGTATGTGCGATTTTTACTTGTTGGAGGCTATTTTTTATGTTCAATTACTTTTTTATCTTTTTAGTTTTGAATGCCCCTGATATAATTCGTCTTCGGATGCCTTTGAGGTGAATAAAATTAATGAATGCCTGTGCATCATTTATCCGATTGTTACTGTAGTTCATTTTATCCGGTCCAAATACTTCGATTATTGACATTTCATAGGTATTTTTTTTATATATAACTCCCATGTCATTCAGAAATAATTACACCACCCGGTTTGTCGCTTAAAAAATAACACATCTCTCTCAAGATATCACATATTTGTATTTCACTACAATAATTGTAGGCTATAATAATTTTCCTGCGTTCTAAAATTTGTTCTTTAAATCACTCGGCGTTCACAGCTCTCATGTTAGCTCATAAAAGCTAAGAGTGCGAAAACCCGCGTTTCTACGTCATAAAAGCTATGCGCGAAGCGTTCAGCTCAGCTCTATAGCGCAGCTCAAGTCAGCCTGCCGCCATGACGTCGCTCAAGGCGTGTTCTGGCCTTCTTCTCTAGGTGGTGTTGGCCGAAGGCTAGCCGGAGAAGAAGCGCGACCTTCACAGTAAACAGGAATACGCCGAATAGTGGGGCCAAAGCCGGGGTGTGCGACCGAAAGTAATGCGAACTTTGTGTTCCACTTCATCCGAAAACCTCTCGTTGGCGGCGTTTTCTTTCAGATAAGCTACGCCCGACGATACTCGTGCCGTTGAATCGTAAAATGCGTACCAAGTTTACCTGTGCTACACTTTTGCTTAGCATCACACGACACAATTTGTTTTATCACTGCTCTCGTATCAATAATGTAGGGAAAAGACGAGGTTCTAAAGGGACCATGAATCGATTCTGGAATCGAATTTCATCCGAATGTCACGTCAGTATCGAGTTGCAGTCGTAAAAAATCGGTCCTGAAGCGCTTACCAACAGCGCGAATACAGCACCTCCATCAAACGCGCACGTCCGCTCCGAGTGTGAACAGGTATTTACGTGGCTCTTGCTGACACTGTCGTAGTTCAAATGTATCTTTTTTAACGGTGGCTCGCTCCCGCATTTCCGAGGCCGCGAAAAACGCCGCGGCAATTTGTTTCCATTTACGTCGCTTTGGAAACGACTGACACGGGCCGCCTTTTACCAACAATGACAGTTGAGTTGACTTCTGGAGTCTTTAACGGAAGACTCGCCGCACTTCCCAACAGCCATACCGGCGCATGGGACTAGTCCCATGCTGTCGCTGTAGCGCCACATATCTCATTGAATTTCGCTCAGCTGCGATGTGTCCATGGCTATCGCGGCGATGAGAGGCGCCGATTCAGAAAATACGTCGGTGACATCAGCGCCATCAGCGCAGTAGAACCTACCGGAGCACCTCCAGGCCCCAACTCGTCGCCGCTAACGCTCCCGTTCTCCTACTGCCGAGAGAACTTCCGGTTCCTGTGCCAGGGTACGTCACGACCGTCAAAATTACGCCGCAGCTTGTTTTGCGGTCAGTTGGAGAAAGAGAAAAAGTCGACATTTCATTTTTTTTTTTGTGTAGAACTTAATAAACCGAGGCGAAAACGGATGCCTGCTTGGTATTCAGTGAACGTTGTAGGTTTAATGTAAAAGTTATCTGGCAAAAGTAAAAAGGTCATTTTATGGTCCCTTTAATAACTGTATCGATTTGTATAATCGTTTTTGGGCGATTTGATACTTTATACCCAGATTACGAATAAAAAGATACAGGGCACGGGATGGCCAAAAGATAACAAACAGGTTTTTCATGTAACTCTCGTTAAATTATGAGGCGCTGGAGAAACAAAACCTTCTGCGTTAAGTCCTTACTTTCGAACTCTTTTCTTTCGCATTCCGCCCATTGAAAAGCATGCGGGAAGGGCTTCAGAACGCACCTGGTATCGCTGCGGCGCAGCGTTTTTCCGTAACATAAAGATCAGGACCGTCGAATTCGGCAACATGGAATTTGAGGTTTCCGCCTACCGAACCGCGCCCGAAGGGACGGCGAAGGGAATCATCAGAGGTATCGCAATTGACGACTCGCCCGAAGACATAAATGAGGCGGTCGTGACAAAGTATAACCCAACGGCGCTAGAGGCCCACAGGATTGGAAATTCTACAGCGGTCATCGTCCTCTTTGAAGGACAGAGAGTGCCCCGGTACGTAATATACCGAGCGGCACTGCTCAAGTGCGGGCTTTACAGGAAACATCATGAAGTGTGTAGATGTTGCGGAAAAGTCGGACACCGCATCGACGTATGTCCAACCCCGGAGACCAGAGTATGCTTCGCGTGCGGGGAGGCCAACCCCGACGCGGACCACGAGAAGGCATGCAAGCCAAGTTGCAAGCTATGTGGAGGAGCGCATCCGACGGCAGATAGAATTTGCAAGAACAAGTTCAAGGTCCCCTTCGTCGTCACGAAAAGACAATGGGAGCGCCGAGAGGAACGCGAACAGCAACAGCTCCAGAAGACAAGACCACCAATGACGTCATCGGACTTTCCACAGCTGCCGAGCAGGGAGAAAAATGAGTGCAGCGAACGCCAACGGCGCACCGGCAGCCGCGAAAGACACAAGAGCCAGCAAAAACACCTGCCGCCGTCGCAGCAGGAAGACGGGAAGCTTAAGTGGTTGGCTGCAGTTAAGGGAAGCAAGTCGAAAGAAACGCCCCGCAGCAAGCAGCAGCCACCATGCCAACACCATAACACCGGAGAACCGCCCGTGACAAGGCGAGAAATATACGACATGATTAGCGAAAACAACGAAAGGCTACTACAGAAGATGGAAGAGAAGATGGACGCAAGGATCGACAAACTACTAGAAGCAATAAGGGCGAGTCAAGCGCCACTGTCACTGCCGACCCCGCAACAGGAGCAAGAGGTGGAGCAGATACCCCGCCCATCCTCGAAGAAGAAAACCCCAGCAAAGCCACCTAAGAGGAAGGAGGAACCAGCCATCGCCGAAGAGGAGGCTACCAAAAGCAGCATCGAAAGCGACGAGGAACAGCCAAAGGAGCCCAGCAACAAAAAGAGGATTATCGAGAATACCAAAGAGAGAAAGCTCATGGCCAGGCTCGACCGCATGGACAAAGAGCGGGAACAAATTGCACATTCGATGAAGGAAAAATTCAACAAGGTAGAGATGACGCTGGGAGAAATAGAAAGCGGAATGCTACAACTACAAACACAGATGCAAACGTTCCTGCAGAGTATGGAAGCCAAGATGCAGACATTCGTGCAGAACGCCCAAACCCAGATCACCACCCAAATACAGCAATTATGAACCCAACAGCGAAATCGAACGCCAAGCCAGACAAAAGGGCAGTAACAGACCAGCAGCCGGTCAGGGACCTCCTGATTTGGCAGTGGAATTGTAACGGCTATCACAATAAGAGGGCAACGCTAACACGGCACCTACAGGGAATGGAGAGGAAACCGGACGTCATTATGATTCAGGAAACACTATGCACTGACACACCCCAACTTCAAGGATACAGAGCACACGCCAAGGCGGCCAAGCCCCTAAACAAAAAAAAGAAAAAGTTTGGAATACGCAAACCAACAGGCGGGGTGTGCACATTCGTCCGCAAGGGCATCGTATTCCTCGAGCACGAGCTGACCACCGGCGGCTGGACCGATAGCAGCGCGGTGGAGGTGATCGTTGGGAAGAAGAAGAGGAAAACCAGCGTGCTCGCGGTCAATGTGTACAGCAGCCCCAGACATAGAAAGCAAAAGTTCCGCACGCTCATGCAAAGGGCACTGCGTGCGACGAATAAAGGCACGATCGTAATAGGGGGTGACTTTAACGCACCACACTACGACTGGGGATACGATAAGACAACCGAAAAGGGGAGAGACCTATTGCAAGACGCCACGGACGCGGGGCTAACGCTAATCACGAACCCGGAGACCCCCACAAGAACGGGTACTTCGGTCGCCAGGGACACCACCCCGGACCTGACGTTCGTCGAAATAAATGGGAACGACACCGCAACGTGGAAAAACACCAAACACGACTTCGGCAGCGACCACATGGTCATAGAGATCCGGGTCCCACTGGGAAACGGTGCAAGCCAAGAGAAATGAACACACAGATACACGAACTGGGAGGAGTTTCGGCGTCAGCTCCCAAGCCAGCATGGTAACATTGAAGATACAGAAGCGTGGTCGAAGGCGATAGTAGAAACGACCGAGGAGGTGACGACAGAGATAGAAACGGACGAAGACATACACGAAATGGACAGCAGATTGGCCCACCTCATCGAGGCGAAGACTGCCCTCAAGAGAAGGTGGAACCAACAACGAACAAACAGAAGGCTCCGCAAAAAGATCGCGGAAATCAACAGGGAAATAGAGAAACACAGCAAGGAGCTCGGCCGGCAGCAGTGGGAGCAAACGTGCAGAGAGGCGGACGGCCAACTCCATCTGGGCAAGACGTGGCGACTGCTCCGGCACCTCCTCGACGACACCCAGACCAAGGGAGAACAACAGTACAAGCTCAGCAGAATTATACACAAGGCGGTAGCGGAGCACGGGGAAGCGGAGGTGAAGAGGAGACTCGACGCCAAATACCTCCCGGTTTCCCCAAAGGAAAAGCACCCAGAATACCAGGGGGCAGAGAACATCGAGGTTGACCAAGACATCGAGGAATGGGAGGTCCGAAATGCGATGCAAGACCTGAACAGGCGTTCGGCGTCGGGCCCGGACCGCGTCAGCAACAAAGCGCTCAGAAACTTGAACGACGCGGCCGTGACGGCACTGACGGCGTACTTCAATAAATGCTGGAGGGCCGGCAAGCTACCACGCCAGTGGAAGGAAGCCAAAACCATCCTCATTCCGAAACCAGGCAAGTCGCCCGACATCGAGAATCTACGCCCAATATCCTTAACATTGTGCGTGGGTAAACGGCTAGAGCACATCTTAATGACCAGATGGCAACAGTACCTCGAAGAGGCAGAGCTCTACCCGGATTCTCTCGTCGGCTTTCGAAGCAAGCTTGGAACGCAAGACGCCATGCTCCAACTCAAGAAGGAGATAGTAGACTACGAAACTCACACCAGCGACAACAGGGCAATACTGGGCCTGGACCTGCAGAGCGCCTTCGACAAAGTCCGGCACTTTGCGATCCTCGCCCAAGTGTCGCACCTGAACATGGGACAGAGATCTTACAATTACATTCGGGATTTCCTGACCGACCGCACGACTCACATCTGCGCCGGGGATCTCCAACTACCAGAGAAAACGCTCGGCAGCGAGGGGACACCACAAGGCGCGGTAATCTCTCCGCTGCTCTTCAACTTGGTCATGATCGAAGTCGCCAACCGGCTGCGGAGCGTCGATGGGGTACGCCACACGGTTTATGCCGACGATGTGACGCTGTGGGTCACCGGCGGCAGCGACGGCCACATAGAGAATACACTACAAGAAGCAGTAAAAACGATAGAGGACCAACTGAAGGGATCGGGGCTGGTGTGTTCCCCCGCAAAGTCGGAGCTGATGGTGATTCCACCTAGGGGAGCGAGCCGCAAGAAGCAAACTATCCGAGACTGCGATAAAATCCGCATACGAACGCAAGGGGGGCACATCATCCCCGAGGTAGCCAAGATTAGAGTGCTGGGCATGATCATCGAACGCAGCAAAGTCAACGGGGCAACGGTCTCCAAGCTCGAAGCTAAGACCGGCACGGCACTGCGTCTCATACGCCGCGTCGCCAATAGAAGAAGCGGGATGAAGGAAGCAAGGCTCGTCAGACTGATTCAAGCCTTCGTGATGAGCCATATCACCTACGTCGCCGCCTTCCATAATTGGCGGCAGTGCGAGCGGAAGAAGATCGACGCGATGATCCGCAAAGCTTACAAATCAGCATTAGGACTCCTAGGATGCACGAGCACGCAGAAGCTCGAAGCCCTGGGACTCCACAATAGCCTGGAAGAGATCGCCGAGGCACAGCAGACGGCGCAGCTCACCAGACTGTCGGGAACCAGGACCGGCAGATCTATCCTCAAACAACTAGGCATCGGAGCCAAGGAAGACGACCACCGGATGCAGGAGCAGATACCGCGGGAGCTGGGCAAGCACATCGTCGTGAGCCCAATCCCGCGGAACATGACTCCCACATTCCATCAAGAAAGAAGAGAGGCGAGAGCCAAGGCGCTGATCGCGCTACACGCCGGCGATGAGGGAGCCGTGTTCGTGGACGCGGCCAGTTACAAGAACATCGGTGACGCCTTCAGCGTCAGCGTGATCGGAGCCAAAACGGGTGAGATCAGGATGGCGGCCAGCGTGCGGACCACTGTGCCCAGCCAGGCAGAAGAAGTGGCGGCAGCCCACGCCATCGCGGACCCCAGAACGAAGACGGTGTTGTGCGACTCGCGAACGGCAGTGCGCAACTTTGCGAAACAGCGAGTGTGCAGTGCGGCAGCGCGCATCCTGCGAAAGGCCGAAGTCAACGGAGTCATCACCAGTGCGGTGATAAAGTGGTTTCCCGCCCACGCGGGCGCGGAAGTGGCGGGCTCGCTGGGGCTCACCAACCACAACGAGACGGCCAACTCCGTGGCGCGTGGACTCGCCGGCCGCGCCCCGGTAACGGCCGCCGCCGACGTGGTGGATCGCCCCGAGAAGGACACCATGGACGCTTACAACGAGGTAACCCTGTGGTACCGGTTAGCCAGAAGAACGATGGCCCTGCCCCACCCCCGTCTGACGCGGGAGGAGGCGGTGGTATTCCGCCAGTTACAGACTAACTCCGTGATAACCCCAGTGTTAGCAAAGCACCTGTGGCCGGAGGTATACGTAACAGACTTATGCAGACTGTGCGGGAAGGAAAGGGCCACGTTGGCCCACATCCTAAAAGACTGCGAATGCGCGAACGCGGACAACAGTGCAGACGTTTTCCCGCCCCTCATGGAGGAGGCGAAGAGATCCGAAGACTACGACGTCCAACACACGGCCGTCCAGCAGATCCTAGCGGCACTCGAGAAGCAGCGACCGGACGGGATGGAAGCAGAAAGGGTTAACCCGAGTACGCTGAAGCCTGCCGCGAGCGGCTCTCCCCGCTAAGAAGACGTCCGGCCACGTCGCCTCAAGAACCCACCTGAGAGGGTGGGATGATAGGGGTTACTGCAGGAGACCCATTAAAGTTGCTCTCTCTCTCTCTCCGTAACATAAAGTCTGTCTGCTTTCATCGCCGTCACCATGGCAACGAACGCCGAATGAATGGAAGCACGCACGGTACCGCCGCGTGAAGCCAGCAACAGCTGACGCCATTATACAAACGCCGTCTGCTGGCCAAAGCCGAACATGGTGTGTCAGATCGGCCGCGTTCACCGGTGTGATGATCGCTACCGGAGGTAGCGGTTACACCACCCTTGGGGTCCCTTTTGGGGTAGAGAGGAGAAGAAATGCCACGAGACTCGGATTTAAATTAGGACGTTTATTGTCCGACTGGGGACGTAAGGTGTCCGCTCACCCGCTTGGCCCGGCGCTTGGAACCTGGCAGGTTGCACGTCATTCTCTCGTGTCGTGGCCTCTTGTCACACGGCACGGGCTGGTGAGGTCGGGCTGTGGCTGCTTGTCACCCGGCACGGGCTGGTGAGGTCTGGCTGTGGCTCCTTGTCAGCAGGCACGGGCTGGTGAGGTCTGGCTGTGGCTGCTTGTCAGCAGGTCGCTCGCCGACGTCCGTTCCGGGACAAGCTTCAGTCGCCGAGCCCTGACGGCCGATGCCTTTCAGTCCTTCGTTTCGTGCCCTCCCTTGACCCCATACCTCGTCTCCTTGGAACGGAGGGCGCGCTGAGGATTAAGATTAGCCACGGTGTCCCCACGTCCGGTCACGGATAATCCACCAAAGTTGTTCTCGGGAAGGTCCCCAGTTTGTGCGCACTTCACAATCGCCACCACTTTTTTTTTTTTTAACAGTGTAGTCAAGCTTTTGTTCAGGTGACAACAAAAAAAAAAAAACAAAAAAACATCACTGCACGTCGCTTCGCTGGTTTTTCCCCTTCTTTTGTAAGAGCGGAGACACACAAAGTCCCCAGTCTAACTCAGAATCCAAAGAAAAGGAACACGTTTGGTCAGGTGCATTAAAAGAAAGAAATACGCTCTAAACATACAAACATGCTCTATAAAACTATCATGCCTGCATCCGAGTAATGAATCTTGAAGAATATGAGCAAACGGGCATAGACACCCTCCATGTACTTCTCTATTGTGGAGTATAACTCAGTTCCCAAACATTCGGATCGATCGCGACTGCGTGACCCTGTGGCTGCTCCAAAGACTCTGGAGCTCCTTCCGTCTGATTCGCCGTCGGACTTCCCTGCTCCTGAGACAAATGCGCACGCCGCAGCTCACGCTCGAACTCCTCGACGGCCTCAAAAAACTCCCGGTCTGATGAACGCGGAGGGCTCTCGTCGGGTAATGTTGGCTGTTCCCGCTGAAAATCTAGCTGCCTTGTTCTTGGCCGGTCGGCCGCGGGCGCTTCTCCGTCGGCCTTAGGGTACGGGCCCTCGTACATCATTCTCTTTAACCTGTTGGCGTGAACGGTGAATGTACCCCTTCCCCAGTTACTACACCTCAAACGGTAGACAACTGAGCTCAACTGTTCCACCACCCGATAAGGACCTTTCCACTTTGGGGCAAGTTTTCGGGACAGGCCCTGACCGGTTTGCTCCACGCGAAGGTAAACTCTTTCTCCAACCTCGAAATCGGCATCTGCCGAGCGCTTGTCATATTGCCCCTTCCGACTCTCTGCTGCCATGGAGGAGACCTCGCGAGCCAGCTCATGAGACACCCGCAGACGAAGTTCAAGCTCCTCCCTGTAGTTCTCGAGTGTGCCGTAGTAAGGAAGCTGAGGGCGCGTCAACAGCTCCTGCGGGAGATCCGGGTCTCTGCCATACACAAGGTAGAATGGAGTCTCGTTGGTACTCTTGTGTGTAGCGGTATTGTACGCAAACATTACATAGGGAAGCCAAACGTCCCAGTCTTTTTGGTCCTTTGCGACCAGATGTGAAAGCAACCCCTTTACGGTCTGGTTCAGCCTCTCGACTGCTCCGTTAGCTTCGGGATGGTAGGGGGTTGTCCGAAGCCTCTCTACCCCAAGAAGCTTGCAGACCTCTGTCATTAATCCCGACACGAAGTTACTGCCTTGATCAGTCAGAAGCTGGTGCGGTACCCCATGCTTTAGCACGATCTTTTCAACAAAAGCCCTCGCCACCGTCTCCGCTTTCTGATCAAACAAAGGGAGGGCCTCGGCGAATCTCGTGAGGTGGTCGACGAACATGAGGATGTATCGGTGACCATCGGCCGTACAGGGCAACGGTCCCACAATATCCATTGCCGTTCTCTCAAACGGCCGAGTCACCTCACCGAACACCTGCAGAGGCGCCCTCTTTCTCTGTTTCGAGGTCTTCCGGAGTTGGCAGGATTCGCAGCATGCGCAATAGTGCTTAATTTCCTTCCTCATGTCACTCCAGAAGAATGACTTTTCGATCTTTTGTCGTGTTTTCTTTTCTCCAAAGTGACCTGCGTACGGGGCATTGTGAAATGCCTTCAATACGTCAGGCACCATACATGCTGGCACAACGAATCTCTCCGAGAGGCACCCTCGGCGACTGCCCTCTCGCTCTTGGGAAATCTTGCAAAGCAAGCCCTGGTCATTCATTTTGTACTCCGAATGGAGTGCTGGCTCCGAGGGAAGTCGCCTGAGCAAGGCCTCAAGAGAGGGATCATTTTGTTGTTCCTCCCTTAGCCTCTCTTCGCTTATGGTTGGGACGTAAGATGTTACCAACTTAACGTGGGCCGGAGGGTCACGCTCGGGAGTTCTACGGCTCAGGGCGTCTGCATTAGTGTGCGCTTTTCCCGCTTTGCCCGCTTTGTGCTCTACCTCGAAGTTGTATTCCTGAAGTTGCAGGTTACACCTCGCCAGCCGAGAACTCGGGTCTCGCATGTTTATTAGCCATTTTAGAGGGCGGCAATCCGTGGTGATCTTAAAATCGCGACCATACAAGTAGCATCGAAAATGCCGGACCGCCCATACCAATGCTAAACATTCTTTTTCAGTCGCGCTGTACGACTGCTCGGCCTTATTCAGCTGGCGACTTGCGAATGCCACCGGGTGCTCGTGCCCATTGGGTCTCTGGTACAGAACCGCCCCAAGGGCGTACTGTGACGCGTCTGTGGCGAGAACAAACGGAATACGGAAGTCGGGGTACCTCAGGATCGGAGCCTCGACCAGTCTCTGCTTTAAACTTTGAAAGGCGCCCTCGGCATCGTCAGTCCACTCGAACTTTACATTTTTGGCCGTCAGGCGTGTGAGTGGTTTCGCTTCCCTAGAGAACTGGTTGATGTGTCGGCGGTAGTACCCGATAAGGCCCAAGAACTCCCGGACCTCTCGCAGGTTCGTCGGGCGAGGAAAGCTCTGCACGGAGCTTACCTTCTCTGGGTCCGGTCGAACTCCCGCCGCGGACACCATGTGTCTGAGGTATTTCACCTCCGCCTTCAGGAACTGACATTTTTTTTTGGCTTTAGTTTTAAACCCGCGCCCCTAAGACGCCGAAGCACACTTTCGACATCTTTCATGTGCTGATCAAAGGTCTCGCTGTATATGACAATGTCCATGTACACGTGGCAGACCTGACCCACCAGCCCTTCTAGCACCACGTCCGCAGTACGCTGCCACACCGCGGGGCTATTTACGAGCCCCATAGGCATCCTGGTCCACTGGTAGTGCCCGTTAGTCGTGTTGAACGCTGTCTTTTCTTTGTCAGTGGGATTCATTTCAATCTGCCAAAATCCAGAGGCCATGTCTACCACAGAGAAATATCTGGCCGACCCCAACTGAGACAGCGTCTCCTGGATATTTGGCAGAGGGTATGGGTCCACACGTGTCACGCTGTTCAACTTCCGGTAGTCGACGACAAATCGAAACGATCCGTCCGCCTTCTCGACCAAGAGCGCCGGCGACCCCCAGGGCGACTTGGAATGCTCCACTATGCCCGCCTTCATCATGCCTCCCACCTGGCGATCCATCTCCTCCCTCTGTGAATACGGAATACGGTACGCCCGCTGATACACAGGCGTGGCGTCACCGGTGTTAATCCGGTGCTTGATCTCCCCGCACTGCCCTAGGTCTAGATTGGTCCTGGCAAAGACGCCCGCATATCGTCTTATCACCTGCCGGAGCTCGACCAACTCCTCTCCGGTCACATGAGCAATGTCGAAAAGGGAATCAATATCCGCGTCTGAGAATGCCTCGGCGGTCTTCTGAACTGCACGAACGCATTCCACCTCAGCACTGAGCTCCGCGCCATGAAACAGTGCTACATTCTTGTTCCGAGGCAGTGTCAACTCTTCCAACGTGAAATTGGCTATCCGCACAGGTACCCGGAGGTTTTCAGTTACGTGGACCAGCGCCGATGCTCCCGCGAGTCCGTGTACCGATAGCGGGCCGGTCTCCACAACGCCCAGCTCTCCCGCAGCGATTGGTTTGGCCAGTTTGGCCCAACACACGACTTCAGACATCGCAGGTATAGTGCAAGGACTGGCAAGGCGCACCGAAACACCCGCTGGAGTAACCCGCCCCGCACCAACACTGTCGCCATGCTCAGTCGCAGGAGCACTCCGCCAATTCCAGATGGGAATCTCGTTTTCACCGACCCTCAAACCTTTTCGCGTTGTGAGAAGGTCGATGCGCTGACTGGAAAGGACGTCCTGACCCAAAATCCCGTCAACGGGAACGGCCGGGCCGTCCGCAACCACGTAGCATGCGTGATCAAATCGGTGCTCCCCCAAAGCGAACTGCATCAAGAAACACCCTCTGATGTCAATTTCCTCCCCGGTTATTCCTACTAATGGCCCGTGGCTCATGTTCGCAACGGCCGGAGATTTTTCATTTGCCTCAGTTACCTTCTGCAGCACGCTCTCACGAATCAAAGTCACCCGTGATCCAGTGTCAACGAGCAAGTTAACGCCGAAACCATTAACACTGCACGCGATCACGGGGCTCGTCTCCCTTGAATACCGGATGACAGCTACCGGCTTCGCGACCACCTTGGGCGCCGGTTCCCCGCGCCCTCCTGCCCTGTCTTTCGCCCTTTTTGCGCCTTTCCCTTTCCGATTACTAACGACTGCCGCCCCCTCTTCCTCCCTAGC